AAATAACGCTTGTGCCCTATGAAAACAAAATTCGTCATGAAGCTGTAAAAAACTTAAAGATTATTCATATTATTATAATACAGTTTATTTGCTTTATTCGATTTATTTGCTATATTCTTTACTTCCTTTATGTATTACACGTGTATTTCAGACTTCTCTGATTTATTTCAGGTAATTACATCTAAATGAGAGAGCGATCAACCACGAGAATTTCAGGACATTTTGATGAAATTTAGAGTAGAAACATATTTTTCAGGAAATATGGACAACGAAGGTTATGAAATAATTGTTTTTTCTGTTTGTTATGCTGAAACAAACTAAGTGATTTTTTTTTCTGTGTAAGTTTATCAGCAAAAACTACTAGTATTTATATTACTAACTCGTAACCGTACACTGTTATCAACTTTGAAATATATTTGATCTTGATTACCTGTGCGCGTACATGCTTTATCAGCCTAGCGGCCAGGTGTAACAAATGTGTCACGTACTTACTTACCTTCCAAGGCTATCGTCAAGCGTTAGATAATGCGATTATATATTTTGTTAGTTTAGTAGAAATAAATTTATGCTTATAACTGAGGTCTATTAAATACGAATGAAATATACTTTTCGAAACATTGTTGTATAAAAGAAAAGGCTCGTGATTAAAATACATAACAATTTTGAGCAAGAGGGTGTCATTGTTATATCAGAATCTTTGTGGAAATTACACCATCGTTAAACAATTATGTGGAACTACTAGTTTCGTTTCGTGTTAACTCGCTGATCAAGCATTATTGTATTACAAGTTATAGCTTTTACAGTAAGGAAAAATTGTTTTTCGAACAGTTACAACATTTCAATCACTAGTGCGATCATTCTCAAGTACGCAAGAGAATGATCACACCAGTGCTTGAAATGTCGTACCTGATCGAAAAACAAATCTTCCTTACTGTAAAAGCTGTAACTTGTAATAAAAACAATTAGTGGAAACTCCCTCGCTCGTAAAATGCAGCACAGCCAATTTCACAATACCACGTGTGTTAGCACATCACATAAGGCACAATAATAATAATAATGTGATCATAGTTTAAAAAAACCATGTCTGGGGGCAAAAACGAAATACCTATACCCACCAAAATTCAAGGTGCAGGTAGTAGTGGGGAGCTTGCTGTATTAGTGCCAGTACCCAGGGGGTGTCATTTGCTATAGAAAATACTCGAGGCTTTGTCTCCGAGAAACAGTTACTTCTTAAAATAATTCAAACATAACTGGGATGTAATGTATTATTTATGAGAGTTAGATTTGGGGCACTGAAATATATTAAAGATACGGACCCCGAGGGTGGTGCCCAGCGACGCCCCTACCAGTTGAATGTCTCTGATAAGTTTTTATTTTGGGACTTCATTGTGTTTTCTCAGTGCAGCCACACCAGGGTAGTCACATGACGATGCTATATTTACGATACCAATAATGATAATATAAACTGGTCGAATGTTTCTTTCTTGTATGTTTATTCTGTGGCAGACTTCATAGTACATAAAATAATACGTAAAATTAAAAATAAATGTAAATGTACTACAGAGCGATTTTCTCGAATCGGGGATCTTTATAGTACATAAAATATAAAATAAATGTACTACAGAGCGATTTTCTCGAACCGGGAATCTTTATAGTGCATAAAATATAAAATAAATGTACTACAGAGCGATTTTCTCGAACCGGGAATCTTTATAGTGCATAAAATATAAAATAAATGTACTAGAGAGCGATTTTCTCGAACCGGAGATCTTCATAGTACATAAAATAATACATATAAATAAATGTACTACAGAGCGATTTTCTCTAATCTGGGATCTTCATAGTACATAAAATAATACATAAAATACAAAATAAATGTACTACAGAGCGATTTTCTCGAACCTGAGATTTTCATAGTACATAAAATAATACATAAAATATAAAATAAATGTACTACAGAGCAATTTTCTCGAACCGTGAATCTTCATAATACATAAAATAATGCATAACATAAATAATAAATGTAAATGTGCTACAGAGCGATTTTCTCGAACCGGAGATCAACATTCCTTATCTGGAGGACTGTCTCCGAACATGAGAGATCAAGCCATGTCACGTTCGGCGTATATACCACATATATATTTATTTACTTATTTATACATTCAGTTATGAACTAATAATAAATATATATAACTATGTATTAACATAATTTGTCTTCATTGTTTCAACTTTAGTTCATATCCGATCCATATTTGTTGTCAGGCAACGCTAACAAAGCCCTTAAGGACGGGTGGGATGTTTGGGTGTTCGATGTTTTCAATTTTCCACAAAGCTACTTGAGGGTAATCTGTTATAGCCGTCCTAATTTTGAAGCGATATATTAAAGGGAAGGCAGCTGGTCAAAACCACCCATCACAAACTTAAACTACTCTTTAATAACGAAAAGCAAGATTGACCGACACATCATAACGTCCCCACAGTTGAAAGGGTAACATATTCTGAAAGGATTTGCCCCCAGTGGCACGGTGGTATATCTTCGGACTTACAACACTAGAAACCGGGTTTCGATACCCGTGGTGGGCAGAGCACAGATAGGCCTTTGTGTAGCTTTGTGCTTAACTTCAAACAAACCGAATCGGACGGGATTCAAAACCGCGAACCACAAATTGTGAATTGATCGCCCTAATAACAACCCATGCGCTAATTTTCAAGACTATTAATCAACAACAACCACCGCCAACTCTTGGCCTACTGTATTCGAATAGTGGATTTGACGTTCACTCTTATACCGCCCACAGCTCCAAAGAGCGGAGTGATTTTTTTTGGGGGGGAAGGAGGGGGATGGTTATTAGGGCATGATCTACGGAATGTCAGATACACAGTCCGGGACGTTAATGATTGGGCCGTGCTCAGCAGTAATCTTGGGTAAACAGGGATAGAGAAACGAATCTTGATCTCGACAGTGAAGGTTTTGAGCTTTCATTAATTTACTATTGTAAAGTTTTTTTTGTTTCTTTTAAGTCCTAGTAATCCCCCGATGGGTCTGCATAAGCTTAATGGCTTATAACGCTAAAAGTCTGGGTTCGATACCCGTGGGGAGCACAGCGCAGAGAGTCCACTTTGCAATTTTACGCTTCAAGACAAATTGACTTATAAACTTTACATTTGAAAGGCTTAAAGTAATTTATCTGATGACTCAACGTTGTTGATCTCAGGTCTCAGTTTGTGAATCAGAAGACTTTTATACGAAGGTTTCTTTCATCATAGGCACTAGCTAGGATCTTAAACAAATTGGACGTGACGACTACGTCACAGTCTCTTAGGGCTAGTTCAACTATACTAGATTTGGTGAGTGATCTGAAATTAATGTTCTTCTATACGTGTTCTTTGTTCCTTTTAGTAGAGCCGATATAACGTTGTTTACAGCAAGAACACGTATGTTTGTAAACTACTAACGACAAATGTAACATACAATATGCTCCTTGAATTTGAAAAAGGATTATAGATAACACTTAGGTTTGAAAACACGCCTTAATTGTACTTGTGAGTATATTTTATTCTTAACAACTAAAGAATATTTACCTATAAAAGGTAAACAAACAAACAAAATAACGGTACTTAGACACTTCAATCGAAATATTATTACACAATTATTTTATCAATCATTTCAAAAGGAAACATTTTTACAAAGAAAATCCTGGTTTTATGATGTTTTTAAAAACATTTACCAGAAATGAATACACCCTGAAAAATAGTATAGAATTTTCCAAGAGAAATTCAACAACTCAAATTCATCGGTGATGTGCATTCGAGAGCTTCGATATTGATTCGTTTTTTACTAATATATCACTGGAAGAGGCAATGCAACTAAGTGCAGATTTGGTATTTAAAGACAATTTCAATGCTGTGTCCATACCAAAACCGGTTTTCTTGAAACTGATGTATTTTGCTGCCAAAGATTCACACTTCTTGTTGAATGGGAAGCTTTATTATCAGGTTGATGGAGGCGCTATGGGTTCAAGACTTGCGCCATCATTAGCCAACTTGTTTCTGTGTCATCATGAAAAACAACGGTTTGAAAATTGCCCTCAACAATTCAATTTTCTCTCCTACCGCAGGTATGTAGATGATACTTTTGCTGTTTTTAGGAATTCTTATCAAGCCCTCCAATTTCTATATTACCTAAACTGTACACATAACAGCATAAGGTTTACTGTAGAACATCAAGATCACAAACTTCCATTTTTGGACACTAATCTGTAGAAAAGGTGGAGAGTTCCATTCGTGGAATATATCGTAAGAAAACATTTTCAGGTTTCTACTTGAATTTTGAAAGTTTTATTCCGAATATCTTTAAAGAAAACTTGGTTATATTATGCATTCATCGTACGTTTAAAATGTCTAGTATGTACTGTGGTATGGTCAAACAATTTGTTAACATTAAGGATTTTTTGTGTAAACATGTTTCCTATTTAAATGATTGTAAATGTTTAAATGAAAGAAACGTGTGCAATACTATTTCAATTGAAGTGTCTAAGTACCCTTTTTGTTATTTGTTTGTTTGTTTACCTTTTATGGGTAATTATTCCTTGGTTATTAAGAATGAAGTAAGACAGGTCAATCGTATACCCACACGTACAATTAAGGCGTGTTTTCAAACCTAATTGTTACCGTTTTTAATTTAAGGACCATATCCTATGTTCCACTCGTTTTTAGTCATTTACAAACTCACTTGTCCTTGTTGTCAGCAATGTTATACTGACTCTACCAAAAGGAAACTAATAACACGCATAAAGGAGCACTAATTTCAGATCACCCTCCAATTTCAGTATAGTTGTATATATCCTAGAAGACTGTCACATCCAATTTGTTTAAGATCCAAGCTAGGGCCTATGAGGAAAGTAGCCTCCGTATAAAAGTCTTCCAATTTAAAAAGTGAGGCCTGGCATCGAAGTTGTTGAGTCATCAAGTAAACAAACAGCGGTAGGGTTGTAGTAGAGTTTGCTTGTTAATTAACAATCTAAGATTCACTGTTTGTGATTTGGGTTTGAAATTGAAGTGTTCTTCTATATTGATTCGTTGGTCTATTTACTTATATTGAATACATTTCCTTAATCATTTCTTTCTTGGGACATATATTAACATAAAGCATTTTGTAAATGGAAATATATAAATAGGTATATTTAAATATATATGGGGATTAATCATGTTGTAGTTCCAAATTTTAACTATATTTTAGTTTCTAGTTAAACTAAATATTAAATGCCCCCATTACATTTCTCCTAATTTAACTTTGGTGTATCTCTGTTTCCGTTTTATATTAATAAATAATCACTGTCAATAAAACGTCCCTCTCCTCTTTCCTACATTCCTATGGTTCGTAGAACCGAATTTTGCCTGATTTAGTTTTTGGCAGATTCTTCTGGAAATACTCCAACTGGAATAGCTTTCAGGAGCACTTGCATTCACATCAAACGAAACGCTTCTTCACGTACTTTCATTTGAGTATAAATTATTGGCCATTCCATGCCCAAACGCATGCTTTTACATTCAAACTGTTGCCTCTAGTTACAAACATTCTCCGTTGAATGTTTCACTATATCAATAGTTTCGAACTCGCTAGCCTGACAACAGCAGTTTTGCTATTGGGACGAGTACTAGGTAATTGGTTTAGTCTGCGTGGTGGTTAAAAACTTATCACCATTACAAACGCATGCTTTTATATTCAAACTGTTGCCTCTAGTTACAAACATTCTCCGTTGAATGTTTCACTATACCAATAGTTTCGAACTCGCTAGCCTGACAACAGCAGTTTTGCTATTGGGACGAGTACTAGGTAATTGGTTTAGTCTGCTTGGGGGTTAAAAACTTATCACCATTACAAACAGGTAGAAGGTAATGGGTGGTGCTGACTAAGAAACTTTTTAACCTAAGAGTGCGCGTGTCTTGTTTCTTGATATCCCCCGCGCCCCTCCGATAAAAATTTGTTAAACTGCGTTAATTTCGAGAAGCTGAATTTAAAGATTATTTGTTTTCTCCACAGTAATTTGCTTCTGAAAACAAACTACATAAATTATAATTTCGTTGCTACCCACCAGTAAACGCTTTCATTACACGTGATTAATGAGAAAATAGAAATGCACCATTGTAAACAAATTAGCCTGTCGTCCATAAAGAAATCAGTAAAATTTTGAAATGTACCAACAAGTTAAAATTGTATAGTTATGGAATCGACATTTAAATGAAAACGGTTTTAAATGAAATATCATGAATACCTCGGAAAATACCTTTAAAAGTGTGTACAGAAATATATCGATCAAAAAAAGTCTGTGATTTAGATGGGGACGTCGTGGGATTGGACCCCAATATTTGATCTTGAATTTTTTTTCTTGTGGTTAGGCTTTCGAATAGAGGTTAAATCGAACAGATGATTTACCCCAATATCTGGGGCGGGGGGTCTCAAATACCTCTCTTAGTGAGGTGCGTTTTACCTTCCCACGTTGTAAATTTGTAGCCTTCAGATAGAGACCAATGATCTGTTAATGCACGTAATATGCTCATTACATAAAATATATTTCCAAATAAATATGTTTGCCAATTTACTATTGTATTAGCATTACGTACTTCATGCACAAGTACCCTAGTTTCATTTGTCTGTTATTTATTTGCAACGTTGCGTGTTTATGTATGTATTAGCGCATGGGAAATATAAACGAGTTAACCCAGGAATTACACAAACTAAGATTTCTAACGTATGCGTGGAAACCTGGAAGATCCGTCAATGTTTTTCTGTTGATCTGTTTTTTTTTATATTAAGATCTTTTAACCATAATGGAAACAGCAGTGAGGATTCGTCTAACAGTCGTCAACAGAAATTAACGTCTTGGGAAATGAAAGTGAAACGGCAGAATAACTACTCTTGTCCAGACATGAGGTTGTTGGGTAGAAGCTACGACTCTATTTCCTTGGACAACAGTGATCCAGATTACATGAATCCATCTATGGAAGAACCTTTTCATGGACAGCCAATCTCGTATAGCAGTGAACAAGATGATGATTTCATCCGCAGTCTTGATCTATCAATGAGAGATAAGCAACAGTTCGGTAAAATGTGTAAAAGCAGTAAGGAAAAAATGAAGAGGAAATCGCCACTGAATGTAAGGTTAATTAATTAGTATTACTATTCAGCTGTGTTTATAATCGTTAATATTTTCGTGCTTATATTACTTTATTTCAGGAGAGGATAAGTTTTTGTTTATTCGGTAAAAGGTTTATTTTGTGTCGGTTTGTAAATCGCTACTTTTAAACCTAAATTAATAAGTTCATATTCAAGGGGTGATAGATAAAAATGGAATATTTAAAAACGTTTTCTTTGGAATGAGAAAAACAAGGCTGAAGTTATACACCCTTTTCCCAGTTCATTTTGAGTTTTCAAAACAAATGTTTTAGATAAAATTGTATTGAAAATTGGTCTCTAACGGTAGTCTATTATATATTTTAAACATAACATATTCCAGATTGATTTTGTTTATTGTTTGATTTTTAAATGAAAACAGGGTAAAATTCCGAACTTCAAACTTGTATTTAGTCTAGATTCATTTATTGATTTAAAAAAATTATCGTTGATAGCACTTAAACTGAAGTCATTTGTAAAAGGAATAACTATTTTTGGAACTTTTATTGTAAAGTACTTGTTTAGTAACTATCGTTTGTTCAACAGATGCAAAATCATGAATATATATTAAAAAGTGAGCTGTTTCATAGCCTTTTCTCAAATATTCCAGATTCTGAACGTTTAGTAATAGGTAAGTAATGACTAGAATTATTATATTTAAAATTCTACTATTTACAAAACGTTTATCAAATACAATGTTTCTTAACAATACATTTAATGAATATAACATATCGTGACGATGCATTCAATTTGTCAAAAGGACAATCCCAAAGTCGTTTTTTTTTAAATGAAACACTAAATATTCTGTTTTAAACGAATAATTTTTCAGTTCCTCATCTTTCTTAATTTTAGTAGACGTAATTTCACCTTAAATCCAATAACTCAAGAGAGCCATATTATTTTGAAATCTGCAATATATATATATATATATTTGAAGTTGGTGTTTTGTTTGCCTGACCAAATAAACTATTACTGAGTTGTGTGCGTGTGTTTTCATTTATTCTGTATAAATTAACATTCAATTCATTTCAAGGTTATTTAACTGTTATTTAGTTTTTTTTGCGAGAATAATAGCCTGTTGCTCAGTTATATTTCGGTAATTCTAATTAATCTGTTGTTGATTTGTGCAACTTTTCTGTTTAGCCTATTCAACTTGTTTTATTTTTTGATTATTTCAACTGGCTTATTACAAAGTTTTGGTTTTATTGCTATTCTAACTATCCTATTATTATTATTAAGTTAATTTTTTTGTACCAGATTACTCGTGTGCCTTACACCAAGAAGTTATCATTCGTGGACGACTTTATGTATCGCAGAATTATTTCTGCTTTTACGGTAACTTGTGGAATTCTGACACGTTGGTAAGTTTGACATATTTCGTTGAGAAACCTCTCGGTTTCTTAAAGTAGGGTTCAAAACACAATGCTAATCTGATGCTCGATTCCTACAGTAGATTCATCACAGATAACCCAGTAAGTAGAAAATTGTGAATGTAATAAACTATGGTAAGCTTGTTTCTCGCTTGAAAAAGAGTGTTTGCTCGCAACGTCGCCAAGTTAATAAATTATTACCATAGTTTTTAACGTTGATTTTTTTTCTCTAAAAGTCTAATTGATTAATCTTTCATATCAGTTCGTATGGAATACTTACCTAATTCCACTTCTAAGTTAGTGTTTAAAATTGTTTTATTTTTGATGTTTTTCATCCGTTTATGGTAAAGAAAAAAAAATACTGTTATTAGTCTGTGTTTAGTTTCTGCACTTTTCTGGATTATACTGGTTTGGTGGAAACACTAATTTGAAGTTCAGATTACTTAAAAGAAACCTTTTACCATTAACTTGGATTATTTTTCAGTTTTATTGTAGGGCCCGGCATGGCCAGGTGGTTAGGGCGCTCGATTCGCAATATGAGGGTCACTGGTTCGAATCCCCGTTCCATCAAACATGCTCGCCATTTCAGCCGTGGGACGTTATAATATGACGGTCAGTCCCACTATTTATTGGTAAAAGAGTAGCCCAAAGGTTGGCGGTGGGTGGTGATGACTACCTACCTTCCCTCTAGCCTTACACTGCTAAATTAGGGACGGCTAGCGCAGATAGCCCTCGTGTAGCTTTGCGCGAAATTCAAAAAATAAAACAAATAAACAGTTTTATTGTATAGGTTACTCATTTACATTAAATATTTTAACCAAAGTAGAAGTCATGAAAAATATTGCTTAACTTTGAATTATCTTTTGTGGTTCTGATCAGGAATGTGATATACATATTTTTGGTAAAAGTTGCTAAAATTACTGAACTGTAACTTTAAGAATTTTATTTTGGTTTCAGCTGACCATTCGATGTTATGATATCAGCAGTATGAACAAAGATAACACAACACCATCCGGACCTAATAGCATCCAGATTTGTACAGAAGATCTGGAGTACCATTTTAGTTCGTTTAGTGCTCGAAACGAAGCCTATTTCACGTTATTTAGAGTTTGGCAGAATGCTCTAGCAGATCAGGTTTGTATTAAGTTTTGAAAAATTTTGAATATTTATTAATCATTGCAGTTTGGTAGAATAAACATATTTAATCTTGTCTTAGTACCTTTTTGAGTTAGCTACGTCTCGCTACATTCGATTTCAAATTTCAGGGTATGGAAGAAGGGAAGGATGCAAATATTTTACACTTATAAATATATTGTACATTTCTGTATTTGGAATCGTAGTAAATGTGTTTGAAACATGAGTATAAAATGCAAACTGAAAAGTAACTCCAAACTAAGATTAGTTAAGTCTCGATGAATGATAACTAAAATCAAATTTCACTCGATTTACGTCTTTGTAGACGATTCTAGAAACGACTAGTGTGATGCAGCAAGTAAAATTATGCTGTCGCCATGTTGATCTGTTAAGCTACAAATTTACGCCAAAAAAATTGACTCACCTTCTTGAAAAATGTATTATCTTAGTTCGCATCACAATTTAAATAACAATGCACTGTATATATTATTTGATTTTATTTATGTAATTAGTTTATCGAACAATATTCGAACCTCCAAACTAATATTTTTAACGCTACTTCAGTGTATTAACATTTTACCAGTTTTCTTTACCTTTTCACCAAATCAAAGATATATATATATATATATATATATATATATATATATATA